TTGAATGCTGGACTAGAACTTCAGAAGACCAAGGTTTGAATCCCTGCTGAGCCATAGAAACCCACTGGGTACCTTGGGCAAGTCATGCTCTCTCATCCTTGTGAATAGGCAGTGGCAAACCCCCTCTGAATAAATCTTGCTAAGAATATTGACTTGCTGGAAGCACTGAACAACGACAAAGAGTTCTAATCCCCCGGATTCATTGCTTTTAGGAAGTGTGTGAAGACACAAATTTTTAATCTGGCCTTTCAAACTGATGTAAACCATAAAGTGAGAAGATTTAAATGGACTTAACTGTTCAGTTGGTTTTAGTTGTCCTTTAGCTGCCTTAGGTGCTATTTTTTAGTAGGATGACAGGATAAAAATTTAATAATGTATGAATATAGGTAGCTCTTGGATGCAGGAAGGACATTCTAGGTAATAAAGCTCTATGTTTAATGGTGTGTAGATTTTAATTCCACTTCCACTTGACTGTGGAGAAACAGTTTCTCAGCAATGCTAAATATCACTACAATAAAAGCACCCTGTATATGCCTAGAAATTATATCTTACTTGTAGTCTCTCAGGACTAAATTATTTTTTCTGTCAGAAATATTTCCATGTATATCTAGTCATTAAACTGACATTTTCACCAATAAGCTGCTCAAGCTTTTATGTTGTGATTGCTGACATTTCTGAAAAGAGATTTTGCAACATACTGTATGTGGCATTTAGGGTATTCGAATTCGCATACCGAGAGAGAGAGAAAATCAGAGAGAGCATGCATGATGATGCTCTCTTTAACAAGTTCATGGATTCTTTCCGTTATGCACCAAAATGATTCATACTCACAGATTATAGACTGCAGTGTATAAATATTAAATGCCTGGATGAGCTCTGCCTTTGCCAGACAGTGTCTGACCTAGTTACTTTAATAAATTAGTAACTTTGTTTTCTGAGTCTGAGTTGTTCTGGGCCTCACCAAGACTAAGTTCTGGCCCCTGTTTTCCTGAATGCTAAGGGTCCACCCTGAACACTTCAGTAAAGACTAAGAATCCTTTCACACTGCACAATTATACCATTATGATTCTATTTTTGTCAAGGAAAAAGCAACATGGGACATACAGTAATAGAAATAA